GGGCTAAGGCCCATTCAAGACCTGCAAGAACTCAATAAGTTCATGAAGAAACTCAAGTTTTGCATTGTCTCATTGGCCTTCATCATCCATTCCTTGGATCCAGGGGACTGGTATGCTGCCCTTGACTTGAAGGATGCGTATTTTCATATAGCAATCACTCCATCCCACAGAAAATACCTCAGGTTTGTGGTGAACAACCACTTCCATTTCACAGTTCTCCCATTCGGCCTGTCAACGGCGCCCTGTGTAGTCACCAAATGCATGGCAGTCATGGCTGCGTTTCTGCGCAGGCGCCAGGTACAGGTGTTCCTGTACCTCGACAACTGGCTGATCAAGGGATGCTCCAGGCCTCTTGAGGAAGCACATTCCCCTAGAATTCCAGTCAAATTCATCATAGTGATGTTAGACGAGCTGGGCCTTCTCCTAAACAGGGGAAAGTTGACTCTATCCCCCCTTCAGTGGATAGAGTTCATAGGGATGGTTCTGGACTCGACCCAGGCCAGGGCGTACCTGCCAGAAACAAGGTTCTGGGCCATGGGCGACATTATTCCAAGTCTCAGGCAGCTTCCCACCACCACAGCACAAAATTGCCTAAGACTCCTCGGACAGATGGCCTACGTGGTGCCAGGTTCAGGCTTCGGCCGCTCCAGTCGTGGCTAGCCTTGATGTATTGGCCGGTTCGAGACAGTTTGGACAGGTAGTGACTCTGCCTCACCCAGTCCTCTACTCCCTTCTGTGGTGGCTCGACCCACAGGTGGTGTGTGCAGGGGTCCCCTTTGCCAGTCCCCAGCCAACTCTCTTGTTAGTGATGGATGCATCAGACTTGGGCTGGGGAGCGCATTTAGTAGTCCTCAGGACCTCAGGTCTCAGGCGGATCTGGCTCTCCACATCAATGTCAGAGAGCTGAGAGCGGTGCACCTGGCATCTCAGACTTTCTGAGCCCACCTAACAGGGAGTTGTGCATCTCAGACTTTCTGAGCCCACCTAACAGGGAGTTGTGTATCAGTTATGATAGACAACACCACGGCAATGTTTTATATCAACAAACGGGGGTGCATGCTCCTCTCCTCTGTGCCAGGAAGCCCTCATGCTGTGGGACTTCTGTGTAGAGCATTCGATTCACCTGCAAGCATCATACCTCCCTGGAGTGCAGAACGAGTTGGCAGACTACCTCAGCAGGTCATTCCATAGCCACTAGAGGTCCCTATGCCCGGATGTCATGAAATTCATCTTCCAGTGGGGTTTCCCCAGACAGACCTGTTCGTCACATGACGCAACAGGAAGTGCCAGCAGTTTTGCTCCTTCCGCAACCACAGTCCGGGCTCCTTAGCGGACGTGTTCCTCTTCCTGTGGGGAGACCATCTCCTTTACGCGTTCCCACCCATTCACAAGGTACTACTCAAAATAAGGAGGGAACAAGCTTCGATGATACTGGTAGCTCCAGCCTGGCCCCACCAACACTGGTACACATTGCTCCTGGAAACATCTGTGGAAGCCCCAGTCACCTTGCCACTTTTCCTGGACTTGATAACTCAGAACCACGGATGCCTTCAGCACCTGAACCTCGAGTTGTTACACTTCACAGCGTGAAAGCTCCATAGCTGAAACCAACGGAGCTTGCTTGCTCAGACCAGGTTAAACAAGTCCTCCTTGGCAATAGGAAACCCTCCACCAGGGCAACCTACCTTGCCAAGTGGAAGCGATTTTCAATCTGGGCGACGCAGTATCATTCATCTCCGCCGCTTGCCACTATCCCCCTTATATTGGACTACCTCTTCCATCTCAAGTAGCAAGGTCTGTCCACGTCATCAATAAGGGTTCACCTGGCCACCATTTCAGCCTTCCATCCAGGTACAGATAGCCAGGCGGTCTTCGCCAACTCTCTCGTCAGTTGTTTTCTGAACGGTGTCAACAATATCCCCAGGTCAAGCAACCCATCCCAGGTTGGGACCTCAACCTGGTCCTTCCCAAACCGATGAGTCCCACTCTTTGAACCACTGGTGATGTGCTCCCTGCTCTATCTCTCATACAAGATGGCGCTTCTGGTAGTGATAACCTCATCCAGGAGGGTGTCTGAGCTTAAGGCCTTAACATCAGAGCCTCCTTACACTATGTTCTATTAGGACAAGGAGCAGCTCAGACCTCACCCGGCTTTCCTCCTGAAGGTTGTCTCCCAATTTCACATTAACCAGGACATCTTCCTCACAATATTCTATCCTAAGCCGCATATGAATGGCAGGGAGCAGAGGCTTCACTCACTGGATGTCTGCAGAGCCCTAGCCTTCTACATTGAGAGAACAAAGCCTTTCTGAAAGTCTGTCCAGTTATTCATGGCAGTGGCGGCAGAACGAAAGGTCTGCCTGTCTTGTCTCTTAATGGATTTCTTCATGGATCACGTCCTGCATCCATGAGTGCTGCAACCTGGTGGGGTGCCTGGTCCTCTGATCATTGCGCACTCCACCAGGGCTCAGGCCTCTTCAACAGCATTCCTGGTGCAAGTTCCGACCCAGGAAATATGCAGAAAAGTGACCTGGTCCTCCATACACAATTTCACCATGCACTACATGATTACCCAGCAGACCAGAGACGACGTGGCCTTTGGTAGAGCAGTGCTCCAATCAGTAGACAGTTCCGACCCTGCCTCCTGAACTTGGGCTTGGGAGTCACCTGATTGGAATTAACATGAACTAGCACTCAAAGAAAAAAACGGTTACTCAACTTCTCGTAACTGTGGTCCTTCGATGTGTTGTTCATGTCCATTCCAATACCCACCCTCCTACCCTGGTGTTGGAGTAGCTGGCAAGAAGGAATGGAGGGGGGTCGGGTCGACAGGGCCCTATATTGGGCACCATGAAGGCGCGACTCTAGGGGGTGCCTAGGATGACCCTAGGGATACTGCTAGGGGAAAAATCTTCCGGCTGTCGTGCACGTGGTGCGTGTACAGCTGGTTGGAATGGACATGAACAACACATCTCGAAGAACAACAGTTACGAGAAGGTGAGTAACCATTTTTTCTGAGTTCCAGTCCAGTGCCTTAACCATAACATATAGAAAATCATCTTGATTCACCAGGCAATGGAAAGACGTAAAGGGAAGATTAGTGCTTTATCCCGCCAAACAGCAATCAGTCCCAAATAGTAGCTCACCAGTTAAAACAGAATTTCTCAAGGGAAATTGGTCTCTTTCAAGTCCTATCCATTCCTTTGTTAATAATAGTACTAAGAGGTGCAAGTTTTCATGTAGCCACATGGGTATACAAACTTGCTAAGTGCCATAGAAGATTAATCCAGGTTCAGATATAACTCCTTATACAGAACTTGCCATAATGTATCTGAAGTCTAAATCATTTGATCCAGTGGGGGGGAAATTGTTCCTATGATAAATGCAATTCTTTACTCTGAAATAATTTTAGTCTTTTACTAACTATGAAATGAACGTCAAAACCATCCATGAGTCATTCTGTGAGTTGGAGTTCAGCAAGTCCTCTAGTGCTTGTTCACCAGATGGGAAATAAGCTCTTCAAAGCAAAGGATATTATTTATTTCTCCTGTTCTAAATTTTCCATATTTCCTAGGACAGAAACTGATTACCGGATTCAGTTTTAGGCTATGTCTGGACTGCTCCCAAGAAGTGTGTTTACAGCAAGAAAGCTAACTCGAGTTAGCTGTTATCTTGCTGTAGAAACCCACTTTTTTTGTCAATGCATAACTCTCAATCATTTGGCAAACCTAGTAATACCTTGTGTATTCTGCACCAGATGTGAATAGTTTCATGTGAACATGAGCAACATCAGAAATCTTCAGTGAGGATGACACGCTTCTCCCAGACATCAGAAGTGTAGCCACATTAAACTTTTCTGTGATGCTCCAAAGCTCATTCCAAAACTGTCATAGCTAAGATGTATGCTGAAGAACAAGGTACAGTTGAAAAGGAGCATCTATTATGCCTTTCATAACATGATTTTTAAATTTAGTTTGTTCCTCTCTGAGATTTTCAAAACCAATTCTTGTCCTTTTTCTTGTAGTGGTAGCTAATATATGCTTTCTCTTGTTTCTCAAGGAACACATCTCTGGCAAGTTTACTTCCTACTTTCAGTAGTTTTCAGTATCATTAATGTATCACAAGAATTTTAGTTAGCTAAATTTTACTCCCTCAGATTGCTAGTTGGCTGTCTCTATAGCAACAGAACAAAAATATTAGCAGCTGTTAGTGGTTCAGTCACTGGTGACAGGGTGATGGGTTTTTTAAAATTAGTACCTGACTAGGGTATGTCTACATTACAGCTGTGCCACTGTAGTGCTGTAATATAGACACTTCCCACATTGACAGAAGGGGTCTTTCTGCCAATGTAGTTAATTCACCTCTCTAAAAGGTGGTTGCTAGGTGGATGGAAGAATTCTTCCATTGACCTAATTGTGTCTACAGTGGTGGTTAGGTCAAAATAACTACATTGCACAGGGCATGAAATACACATAGATCAATATGGATCTGCAGACGGCCAAAGACTTTGGTGCTGAGGTTCTGGGCTTCTGAGAAAGCTCTGGCCTTACTCCATAGTAGAGTTGATCCAGTGGAGCCCTACTATGCTGGACTCCCCCAGAAATCCCTGTTAAGTGAGGGATTCCTACTATGATGGGTTCCTCCTGGGGTGCCACCTGGAAGTGGGGTACCACTGAGCCCACCTGGGCTTCCTTTCCACTGTACTGCTGTGACCAGCCTGCTAAGCCCTCTCCCAGGCTCTAGCACACATACAAGTAGGGACACACCCAGTTGCAGTACATACAGATGCTGAGATGGGGAGGCTACAACTGAAGAACTGCCCAGCTACTCAAGTGCACATCCCCCTCTGGAGTGTAAACCCAAAATTAGACCATCTTGCGCTGCATAAAGATATGCATAGTGTACGCTCATGAAATTCACCTCCTCCCTATGAAACAGCTTTTTGCCCCAAGTTATGAGTCCTACACACTGGTTTTAGACACAGCAAAAATAAGTTTAACTACAAAAGATAGATTTTAAGTGATTATAAGAGATAGCAAACAGATCACCTAGCAAACAAACAAAACATGCTAACTAAGATTAATATACTAAAGAAATGGGATATGAGTAGCGAATTCTCACCCTTAATGATGATTCAAGCAGGCTGCAGTGATTAAGGGGCCACCTGCACTTGCTTACAGCTTAAAAACCCCAGATGTTCCTTTCACAGGCTAAAAATCTCTTTAGCCTGGGTCCAGCACTTCCCCCACAGTTCAGTCCGTGTTCCTCAGGTGTTTCCAAGAGTCTCTTCGGGGTGTGGAGTCAGTGAAGAACCACGATGATGTTGCTCCCCTGGCTTAAATAGCTTCTGCGTAGGGTGGGAACCCTTTGTCTCAAAGCTTGGTTCCCACGCCAGTCAATGGAAAAGCATTGGTATTCCAAGATGCAGTCCAGTACCAAGTGACCTTGTTACATGTCCCTGTAGTGCCACAGTAGCCATTGCTCATAGGCCGTTTGTAGCATCCTCAAGAAAACTTGAGGTGGGAGATAAACTTCTTCTAAGGCCTGTTGTTTTCCCGAATGGTTCATTAACTTGAATGGGCCCTTCCTACCCAGCCATCTAGACCGAGCATCTTTTGCCTAGTGGGCATTCCTCAGGTGTAAACACATTTGTAATACAGATATATAGTCTATATTCCTAACTTCAGATACATGCATACAAATAGGATAGTCATTTTCAGTAAATACCTTTCCAATGATATCTCACATGACTTATCTTGCATAAAATACATCAGAATTATGCCATAATCACACCATAATAATATCACACTGAAGAATATGGGGCGCAGCCTCACACCTACTATGGTAGGAGATTGTACATCTTCCCTGTGCTTCCTGGAGCTATTAGGAGGGATGATATGTATCTCATCGTTGGTCTATCTATGCCTACTGCCTTCTTGCTCCCTGGACTTGCAGAGAGCCTTCTATGGACGCAGAGGAAGGGGAGGATGTTGTCAGAGATGCAGCTGGACTCCTCCTCCTCTGCCTCCTTCCTCATAGGAGGGAAGAGATACACATGCTGATGATCCCCTCTATGCATGGCTCTTCACTATGTGTTCTTGCATATGCACAACGTGCCTTCGTTGGCACGTGACCAGGATTCATCACCGAATTTGATCCGCTGGTTGGATCATTAGCTTTCCCGGCCTTGGCCGGGTACTGACAGGGAGTGTGATGTGAACGCTGATTCCTGCCCCACACTATGTGTTTAGACCCATTGATATCTGTGGCCTATGTCAGGGTTTCTCAAACTTCATTGCACTATTACCCCCTCCTGACAACAAAAAATACTACATGATCCCAGGCAGGGGGTCCCAAGCCCTGCCATGCTGGGGGATGGGGTGATGGGACGCAAAGCCGAAGCTTGAGGGCTTCAGCTCTGGGCAGGAGAGGTGGGGAGGGCTGTAACCTGAGCCCCAGTGTCCAGGGCTGAAGTCTGGGCCCTGTTACCCAGGACTGAAGCCCTCAGGCTTTGGCTTCAGTCCTGGGTGGTGGGGCTCAGACTTTGGCTTCAGCCTCAGGCCCCAGCAAGTCTAATGACAGTCCTGGCAACCCCATTAAAACAGGGTCACAACCTACTTTGGGGTCCCAATCCATATTTGGAGAACCTCTGGCCTATGTTACGCATGAAATTACTGTAGGCCTACATGCAAATCTTATAACTATACACAAAAATGACCAGTGCGAATCATTACCAGATTTGCTCATGGAGTCAGAATAACTGTATGCACAAATTAGTCATGAAATATACATGGTTTTCCCACGATGCTTAGAAAATCAGCCCCTAAAATCTAGAGGACATTCTCCATTACGTATAACAATTTTAAGGTACCATGGATCAAATTTTGAGCATAATTACTTTGTAGTGTCCCTTTTATACAGAAGCAGCATCACACACTACTAAATGTTTTCTGGCTTTCCATGGTTTTATCATTGCATATCATGACCTTCACTGGTGAGCTTGTCAGCCAGAGATTAACAAGAAGATATTTCCTTCTATGCAGTTGCATGCAGAGCTGTGGCTGGGTACTGGATAAAATAAAATTAAAATGAGTAGCATCTTTGGGAGCTGAAATGAAGAAGAAAAAAAGGAAAATGTCCTTAAGAGGCTATGTGAGACTTCCTGGGGGCAGGGAAGCAGCTGAGCCACAGTTAATCTGAAGGGATTTATAAGACTGAGAGTAAAGGCGCTTCTGTTAAAAATCTCACTGGTAATATGGAGCTTCCAAGGAAGATCTTGAGGCAAGCAGCGAAGGCACAGAAAAATCCTGTTGCTGTTAAATGAAGAGTCAGAAGATAATCCCTCTGAAACATATATGTGTACATGAACATATTAAATATCCTATTTTTAATTATTTTGCATTTTTTAAAGAGCAAATTACATAAATGTACACTGCATTTGAACACTGAATATCTGTGCACACAGAGTATCTAAATCTTGCTTCTTTCACAGCAATTTTACACCAGTGTGACAATAATGACTTCAATGGAATTACTCCCATTTTACATAGGGGTAAGTGAGATCAGAATCTGGCTTTTAGCTCTATAAACATTTCAGAAGTGATTAGTGATTTTGGGAGCCTCTGTGTTTGGGTGCCCATCAAGAGATGCATTAAAGTGTTCAGAAAGTACCCTCTGAAAACCAAACCACTTTAAAGACGTGTTAAGTTGGGCACCCAAAAATTGAGACCCTCAAAAACGTTAGTCACTCTTGAAAATTTAGACCTTAATATTTAGTGACCAACTGACAAAACTGTATATTAGAGCTTGTTTAATAATTGTCAAATCTGTTAAAACATATCTTTAATCTGGACGCTTTTCCGATTAGGGACAATTGGCCTGATCCTCAGCTGCTGTAAACAGATGTAGCTCTATTAGGAACTATGTCTATTCACACCAGCTATTCTAATGTGGTCCAATAACATTTTGCCTTCAAACAAAGACGCATGGAGCAAACCTTGAGAGCTATTTTACCTGGAGATGACATATTATGTACAAACTCTGCATTCTGAATAGTTGGTAAGCTTGAGTGCCACTTAAAATAAGCCAAACACACTTGGAACAATATCCTATTTGAAAGAGTCGGTGCCCGTTTTGGGGCCTGACTCTGATCTTTGTTAAAGGAGGAGTACTTGCACTGAAGTCAGTAGTATATCACCAGTGTGAATTCAAATTCAGGCCCTTTTTTATGTTTATTCTATAGTACCAGAGCAAGGCCATCAGCTCTTTCTGTACGGAATTATTTCTTGTTTCTTTTTCTTCAGGCTATCGTTAGACACAGGAGACTCAAAACTATGTTGATCTGTGAAAAATAAGATTACTCATTCTTAGAACCTGTATTCCTCCACTTCTTTAGCCAGATGTTATGTACTTTTAGATATATCAAATTATTCCCATGCTGAGATTGTGGATCTAAAGGAGAGTAATCAAAGATTTAAAAGCATTATATTTCTAGTTATTTACAACTTTGAGGGAAACAATATATTTTGCAATTCTTTGTCCTACTTATCCCTCTCCTAGCCCGCCACTCTGCCCTCTTAACACCTCCTCCACACTACCTTTTTGAAAGTAAGTGTTCTTGGTGTCATTGAGCCATGCATTGTATTCCATTAACACAAAACATCACCCTTTGGATCATGATCCATAATTTGTGGTTTGTCAAGGAAAAAGAAAATAAATAAAGCAAAAAAAAAAAAAGTGGCAAGATTGCTCAGGCTCTATTCAACTATTGTTTAAAAAAGACATTACAAGCTGTGAAAAAGCCCTCATATATTTGGTTTATGGTTTGAAATGTGAATTTAGTTCCTATAGGCTGGGATTGGAATTAATATAGGAACATTGTGCAGATTAACAAAACTCTTTTCTACCATCATCAGAAGATCCTATTATATGTTTAAGATCAGAAGACTGATAACCCTATGGGGAAAAGCAGGAATTAAAGGAATTCACTAAGGAAACTTCATGAGAAGCTGGGAAGATGGTTCTACTCCCCTTGATTCTATCATGCAAAGTGCTGAGCCTCGTCAACAGGCAGGGAGTTGTAGGGGTTCAGCAGTTTGCAGAATCAAATCCTTTAAGAGTCAAGAAGCTGGATCTGCTTTTACTCTTTAATCTCCCTTCTAATGCTTTTTTAAGAAGCCAAAACCCTGCTTGTTCTAGAAAAGTTTAAAAACATATTTGCTCCTGAGACCTAACCCTTTATACACGTATGCAGGTGTGTAGTCCATTGAAAAGTTATGTATCTGGGTAAGTATTTGCAAGGTTGGAGCAATGAATCACCTCTTTAGAGAAGTTATCAGAGGTATGGAAATCAGAGTAGTTAGCAGGTGTCAGGACCTTACAGGTTAAAGCCTAGAACTGGGGCTATTTTGAAATCTATTTTTCTAAACTACAGTTAACACCTTTCCAAAAACTATGCTGTGCTTACCTGGTGGATAAGGTAAGGAGTGGATGAGGAGCTGCTCATTTTCCTTGGAAATCTGATTATAGGAATTCAGTCTCAGAGTTGGGACTATTTTGGGGGGAGGGTTAAATTCTCATGAGACCGCTTTCACTTTTACACATATTTCATATCTGTAGTCGTCAGGTGCAGATACCATTTTTAAAAAGGCTGCTTTTTTGTGTTTAGTTTCAACTGCAGCCCTATAAAAATAAAAGGGTCCAGTCAAGCCAGTGCCCAGGCCAACTGGCAGCGCTCAATGAGAGCTATCTAAAGTGCAGAGGCATTGCAAAGAAAAGCATCCAGCCATGCCCTAACGCCATGCTAATTCAGTGTCCATGGGCCATGCTGCACCTTAGCCAAGGGTTAAAATAATCCCTGAAGCACTGACACGGGGGGATGAGGAGGTGCATTTTTAACATACCTGACTCCAGCAGCACTAGCCCTGAGCCATATCCAGCCAGCCACTGGCAGGGCCTCTAGCAAGACGTTTGGGGCCCCGCGTCAGACTAAAACTGCCCCACGGGTTAAGAATCCAGAGAGAGCAGCAGGGCGGGGGCCGGAAGGTCTCCAACCCCTGCCCATGACTTGATGTGTAGCAGCGGGGGGTAGTTCCTCAGACCCTGCACGAAGGAGGGCTGGGGACTGCGCTGCAAACACTGTAGCAGTCTTCAACCCTGCTGCCTTCTCCTTCCCCCTCCCTGCTGGCCCTGGCCCTGGCCTTGACCCGGGCTCTGCTCTTCAGCTGCCCCCCGCGGCGCCCGCCCTGCACAATCAGGCACCTGCCCCACTCGCCCCCCCACACCGGGGCCCGCCTCCGCTGCCCGCCGCCTCCCGCCCAGCCGGGCTCCTGAGGGCCCGTCCCCGCCCTGCCCTGCCCGCGCGGCCCCGCGGCAGCCCCCCGGCGGGGAAACCGCAGCCGCCTTCCCTCGGCAGATGGCAGTCACGGCTCGCTGCGCGGGCTGCCCGGCTCCGCGCCCCGCCGGGCTCGGCGCTGCCTACTGGCGGAGGGGCTGGTGCTCTGCGGCTGCCGGCGGAGCCGCGGCAGGGTGGGGCGGAGGGGGGCGCGGAGCATTCCCCCGGGATGGAGCTGCCCGGTGCCAGCCGCGCTTGGCCGCAGACAGCCCCGGCTGCTCCTCCTCCGGCTCCCCCGCCCCCGCCCCGCCCCAGACCCCTCGGCTGCTGCGGGCCAGGGGCTGCCACATCGCCCGGCCTCCCCACTTCCCTCGCCCGCCCCAGCCCACCGCCCCCGCCCCCCCCCCCGGTCCGCCTTCTCCCTCCCCCCGCCACCCTCGCTGCTGACGTCTGGGTCTGCCCGTCTGAAAACTCCGCGCCGCGGCGGATGCGGCGGCTTTCAGGGGCTCGGCAGCCGCGGCGAAGATGGTGGCGGCGCCCTGCGCTCGCAGGCTGGCCCGGCGCTCGCACTCGGCGCTCATCGCGGCGCTCACCGTGCTGCTCCTGCAGACCCTGGTGGTGTGGAATTTCAGCAGCCTGGACTCCGGCGAGGGGCAGCGGGCCGGCGGCGGCCGGGAGAAGCGGGACCGGGGCGGCGGCGGCGAGAGCAGCGACCACCGGGCGCATCAGCACCGCAGAGGACCTGCTGCATTCCACAGCAAGGCGCTGGTAGGTGCTGCCGCCCCCTCCGTTCGCAGCCAGCCCTGGCACGCGGGGGACCCGAAGGCTACAGCGCGCCCCGGTCTCCGCTTTGCACTTGGCCCGCTCGGCGGCGGTGTAATTAATCGACTCTTCTGAGCAGGGTCGGGTTGGCCCCTTGCAAGTCTGCAAGAGGCATTCCGGCAGCTTCTTGCCTGTGCGGCCAGCTGCCTTATCGGGGGGAAAGGGGGATGGGGGGCGATATGAATTTCCAGAACACCAGGGCTCCTTGGACCGGGGGTAGTAGAGGCGGGAGTGTGACAGAGAAAATCTGCTGGAGGCTTTTAAAGTGCAGTCGGGAGAGAAAGGCAAGAAGTTCTGCGGATGGGCGCAGGGTGGTTTTCGTGATCCGTGCATGCGCTGTAAGTGCAGTTAGGAGGCACGGGCAGGTAACTGACTGAGAAGATCCAGCCTGGAGCCGCTCTGAAAACTTTGAAAGAGGATGCTCCTCTGCCGCAGTCGTCGCTTGAACCTCGGCAATTGGGGTGGGAGGTGGGGAGGGGGAGTCCTGCAAAGCTAGAACGGGATGGGACCGATTTTGTTGTAATTTCTCCGCTGGCCAGTAAGGCTCCCACCCCCAACCTTTGGAAGTAGCCCTGCTTCAGATGGCACGATCTAGGCACAGAAAACCTCCTTGGCGCTAGACAGTGCTGGGGTTGTTCAGAACAGTCCGTGGAGGTGCATATTATTTATACATCATTACAGTGATGTATTTGTTTTAATCATTCTTTCCCTCCCCCCATCTACCCCCTGCATGCCTGCAAATCTGCTTTCGAAGGATTTCAGTCGTGGGAATGGGACTGTGCTTGTTGATTGCGCATCGTTTCATGTTCATGAGGGTTCTTGCGCGCCGGCTGGGCGCTGCTGTGGGAATGGCTGGTTGTATTCGTAGACTTGTCACTCACGTTTCCTGTGGTGTGAAAGTGACAAAGGAGCAGACAGCGCTGCAGTGGCGTTTTCTACTCCCTTGGCTGCTGGCAGCAGCAGACTCAGACCTACTAGACTCCACTTTCCCATCATGTCACTCCTTTCTAGGAATGGAGACTGTAACATTGTTAACCCCCACCCCTTCTCCCCACAGCTTGGTTCTCTCCACCTCATATCTTGACTCTGCTCTTGCTCTTCTCTCTAGAGCCCTTCACCTTGGAGTGCAGCTTTCCTATCCTATGGAAGAAAGTGATGTAGCTGTTGAGTGTCTCTCTCCTCTTAGGGACTGAATCAGGCTCACAAGAATTCTCCCAAAAGAAAGTGAACAAACAGCAGGAGACCTAGTTATAAAACAGCAACAAAGGAAAATGCTTTAATGGGATCTTCTATTATTAGAAGTCCTCCTCTGAGACTTAATTATATTTTGAAATGTATCATTTTCTGAATCTTCCAAACTTCAGTCTGGTGTAGTTATCTCACTGATACATTCTTGTGGCCTTTATTATGCTGCTTTTTTGCATCTGAAAAACACATAGACACTATTCTTGATTGCACAACTGTATCAGGTACAGCAGGCAACCAGTGGTGAAATTTAATGCAATAATTTATTAGCCCACTAAGAAGTCAATTATTTCTTTTTTGCATACTCTCAAATGTTTATTTAAATTGCTTGAGTCTGAACCATTGTGTTTTCACAAAAGTAATTAGAAATTAAAAAACCTATATTTCTGGATTGCAAACAGGCAAGTAATGGTATAGTATGGTATTTGCTATAATGGTATGGTATTAATTTCCAAAGAAATTAATATGAAGCCCAAAATGTATTTCACTATGTATAAATGGTATTTAGCGTTCTGTAGTTCAAGACAATCTTCCTTTGTTTATGAGCTTTGCTTTAATAGATGTCTATGTAAATCTGATTTAGGGAAATTTTGCGTTGTCCCTTTTCAGATATGCAATTCACTCTATATTTATTTCTATCTCTATACATCCTAAGAGAGAAAGCAAGAGTCTAGGCTTAGATATGACTTCATAGATGACTGTGGTTGTCCCAACCACAAGTCTGTTTTATGAAATCATCTCCTGTAATAAGAATAGATTAATGTTCTGTTGCTAAAATTCAGGGACGGTCTTCTGGAAGATTGCATACACTGTACCAGTGTGTGTGTGTGTGGAGCTTTTTCAGCTTCCAAATAAAATAATCTAAAATTCCTGCTTACTAAAATTAGCTTTTCTCTTGCTTTATTTTTACAGTCTTCTCACTTAATGACTTGTGTTCTGAAATTTTACATATCAAACTTTGCCATCTTTCTCCTAGTATTCTGCCCTCTGCTCTCTTTTTCCATTGATGTCACTCTTTTCAGACCTCATTTTTTCTCAAGCTGTTTCTCCCATCCCCCCCAGTCTTATATTTAGTTGTTGTCACATAGGGATTTATTTATTAAAGCAAAGTCACAGCTCTGACTTCTTTCAGGCCCAGGAATCAACCTGAAACAAGTTTGCATCCATCTGCCCCTGGTATAACCAAAGGAATGGGGCAGGCTCTTCCTGAGGTCCTGTGGAGAAAATGTCTGTTATGAGCTCTGAACTGCAAGGGGCCCTAAGACCATCATGTATTGGAACATGAAAGAATAAGGCTGTGAAGCCTACGGAAAAGCTCACAAGGTTTTCTTGAAAATACAGCATTATGAGCCGCCCTACAGCTTTTGCTACTAAAAGTGAAGAAGATAATGTGCTGTCACTCAAAATGCTGAAGTCCTGAAATATTGGCTGTGTGATGCTCACAGTATTAAAACAGATATTTCAGTGCTTCTTACATCATTTGTGGATATGCGTATTTAGAATAATATTTTTATGCTGGTGATTAGCAGTCATTCCTTTATACGTTTGCTTTCACTAAGGATGTAAATACTGAGTGGTCTGGCTCCTTTTGAATCTGTTTTAGATAACATGCTGCGTAAACACGTTTTATGAACTTATTGTCCTTACACTTGCTACAGCCTGGTCTACTCTTAAAAATTAGATCGATCTAAGTACATTGCAGGGCTGTGAAAAATTTTGCATCTTGAGCACCGTAGTTAGGTCAATTTAACCCCGAGTGTAGATGCAGCTAGGTTGATAGAAAAATTCTTCTGTCGACCTACTTACCACCTCTTGGAGAGGTGGATTAACTGCATCAATGGAAAAACCCCTTCTGTTGATGTAGGAGCTGTCCACATTACAGTGACACAGATGCCGCTGTGCTGGTGTAGCATAGACAAACCCTAAGTAACCAGTGGGTGTCACACTAAGCTATGCCACAGTATCTTAAATGTGTTCTGAACCAAACAATAATGTTGCTGTATATAAACAATTTACAGATGCTGTGTGTGGATAGATGATTTGGCAACACTTCTTAAGGATGATTTCACAACACTTGTGGCTTTGCTTAAACTGCACCCCTCAGAGTGGTGACCATCTTTACACTTACTTCATCGGAGTACACACACCCACTAAGCATCCATTTGATGGAGCACAAATTGGATTTTTTGCAAATTTCTGGTAGAAATCAAACTAAGTATGAAAGCTAAAGAGCTCTGCTTAATATTCTGTCAACCCCTTTGAAGTTCGTAGGCTAAATTCGCAAGATACTGACCTACAACTGTCTTTTCCACAGATACATTTTGCATCTCAGTGACAGGCGCATGACTGTCTTTATATTTAGGGGGCTCTACATTTGCTTATGTCAGATACGAAATGTTAGCAAGAAAGTTTTAAGCAACATAGGGCCTGATTCTGATCCACACGGTATCTTAACCCTATTAAGCTCTCTGGATCCCCAGAGACCACAAGCGACTGCTGGGCAGAGTGAAAATGCGCTGGGCCGATTGCATGACAAAACTCTTTGGCCAGAAATGGAAAGAACGTGTTTGTAACACAATAGAATGGTGTGGCGTCAACTTGCGTTTGTGGAGGGACAGACGAGGACAAGCCAGACAAGGGGGACAAAGGTGAAGGTCAATGGAGTTATACCAGTATAAAATCTGTGTGGGAGAAAACTCCAGCCCATAATTTCTGGTGCTCAGTTTCTATGTTAAAACACAATTTATATACTGCCTGAGCTGGTTTAGGTTTTCCTTTTCAGCCTAAATTTCCCATAGTGTGCATTTATCAAATTTGTTATAGGATATTTTCAAAAGTTGGCTGGCCTGAGTACAGTAGCTCCATTATATCCAAACCCCAACTCTAGGGCTTAACCATTTCAAGAAGATTTTCACACAAAGTACTTTATTCAAAGTACTATATATCCTCTCTGTTTATTTTTTTTTTCAGTTTAGTCATAAGAGCACATAATGCAGTTTGTTCTAGAGTATTTTTAGTATTCATTCAGTCTGTTAACTGGGCGCTAGTGTTAAAATACTCATTGGTCTGCCCAAAGGGAAGAACTGAATGTCTCCATCTGTGTGAAATAGTGGATATGTTGATCACTTTTTCCTTCCTCCAGGAGAGTCCATAATCATATTAAAAATATCTCTAGACTTTTTTTTCGCAAGGGCCACTTGTACTTTAGATCCATTTATTTTAACTAATATTTGATCATGTGGTCTGCAACCAACTTATTTTCTAATGTTTGCATAGAAAATATTTTGGACATTGGCTGAAGGTGGAACTTCCAAAAGCTCTGTCCAAATATTGCCACATATGGCTAAAATCCTTATTTTTAATTTTCCCTCCTGTTTTTGCTCCTGATCAGTGTGCAGAAATATGTACAAGTATTAAAGAATGGCATTTCTTTTATTGTATTGAATCAAACACTAAGAAGTAAATAGTGTGGGGTTTTGGTAATCTACTTCTGTAGGAAAAGAAACAATTTTTGAACCAAGTGTTTAAGGGGTATTTAGATTTATTCTAAATGCCATCAGATACATATAATAAGCAATTTCACTTGCAAAATGAAAAAAAAAAACTGCATTATAGTAAAAATGTTACCATTGTACCTGGTATAATTAAATGCAAGCTTCCAACTTGGCATAAAGAAATAATTTTGAATCGAGCTATTCTGC